AACGGCAACGGGCGAAGGCGTTGGGGTTGGGTCAGCGCGAGAACGCGGTGCGGTACCTGGGACAAGACTACGGGCGGTTGGTGGAGGAATGTCGGCGTTCCGGCACGCTTTTCCGCGACCAAACCTTCCCGCCGGTTCCCACTTCCCTCGGATTCCGCGAACTCGGTCCCGGCACCGCCAAAACTCACGGCGTCCAATGGAAGAGGCCGACGGTGAGCCGGGGTGTTAACGACGAGGCGAGGAGGGGGGGAACTAATTAACCACAGCTCGGCGGTTGGGTTTTAATTCCCTTGGTGTAAGCAGCGGTCGTTAGCGCGGTCAGCTGTGTAAATATCCACATTTTGGTGAATTTTGGTGACCGAATCGGGGGCGTTTCCTCACAGGAGCTGTGTCCGCGCCCGCAGTTCATCGTGGACGGGGCCACGCGCACCGACATCTGCCAGGGAGCGCTGGGTAGGGAGCGCCGACGCTCGGTTTCCCAAATTTTTGACTTTTTTTTTGGCTCCAATCGGAGATTTTTGGGGATGCTTTCGCTGAATCGAGGCTTTTTTTGTCTCCGCAAGCGCCCCCGTTAGCCTTTACCCGCCGCCGGCGGGTTCAAACCTCTTCACCGACGGGGTTGTGGCAGAACCCGCTTCCCTAAACAGGTGTTGAGTGACCAGAAAATTGCTTTTTTTACCCCAAAACTGAGAGGAAACCGATGCCCGCAGGTGACTGCTGGCTGCTGGCGGCCATCGCCTCCCTCACGCTCAACGAGACGCTCCTTCACCGCGTGGTGCCGCACGGGCAGAGCTTCCAGCACGGCTACACCGGCATCTTCCACTTCCAGGTGAGATGTTTAAACCACACACGCACCCCAAAAACTATTTTGGGGGTGTTCCCCCCATTTCGGGGCTCCCCCCCCAAATTTTGAGGGTCCTCCTCCATTGTTCTGGGGGCAAATCAAGCGATTTCCGTCACAAAACGGCTTACAGCTTCACCTCCTGGCGCAGCGATACCGCACTGGTGCCGCTATTTCCTGTTTCCTGCCGGGGATGGGCACTGTGAGACCCAAAACCCGGTGTTTTTTCCTCAAAAAATGCCGCTCCCTGCATAAAAAGAGGTGGGTTATCTTCGGCCTCGCCGCTTCCTCCTCCTCCTCTTCAGATTTGGCAATTCGGCGAGTGGCTGGACGTGGTGGTGGACGACTACCTGCCCACCAAAGACGGCAAGCTGCTCTTCGTTCACTCTGCTGAAGGCACCGAATTCTGGAGCGCCTTGCTGGAGAAAGCCTACGCCAAGTACGTCCTCCGCCCCCTCTTCTTCCTCTTCGTATTGAGGCGAAACATCCCCCAAAACGGGTCAAATCGTCTTTTTCGATCGTCAGGGTGAACGGCTGCTACGAGGCGTTGGCCGGCGGCAGCACCTCGGAGGGGTTCGAGGATTTCACCGGCGGCGTGACGGAGTGGTACGACCTGCGCAAGCCCCCCGGCGATCTCTACCAAATCATTCTCAAAGCGCTGGAGCGCGGTTCCTTGCTCGGCTGCTCCATCGACGTGAGGGATTTTTGGGTTAAAAAATGACGGTTTTTGGGTCTTTTACCCGCCGTTAGAATAAGTAAGGCACGTGGCAACGCGGTAACGCGGCCGGCGTCTCGTTTTTCTCGCAGATAACGAGCGCCTTCGACATGGAGGCGGTGACGTTCAAGAAGCTGGTGAAGGGACACGCGTACTCGGTGACGGGGGCCAAGCAGGTGAGACGCGACACCGTTCTGGGGAGAAAACGGCGGGTTTTGGGCCACGAGCCCTGACGGCACCTTTTTGTTAGGTTAACTACCGCGGCCAATCCCTGGGCCTGATCCGCATGCGCAATCCCTGGGGAGAAGTGGAATGGACAGGTCCCTGGAGCGACAGGTGAGGACCGTGAGGCTTCGTTAGCGTTAATTAACGAAGCGGCTCGGCCCCGGGGTTGAGATTCGTTTGCCACCCGCAGCTCGTCCGAGTGGAACGCGGTGGAGCCGGCGCTGAGGCAGCAGCTGATGGTGAAAATGGAAGATGGTGAATTTTGGTAAGCAAAGAAAAATTCAAAAACCCTTTTCCCTCATTGTTTTCTGGAGGGGGGGGGAAACTTCCGCTCTCGACCTTCGGCATTTCCTCTTCCTCCAGGATGTCCTTCCGGGATTTCCTCCGGGAATTCACCCGCCTGGAGATCTGTAACCTCACCCCAGACGCTCTCCAATCCCGCAAATTCCGCAAGTGGAACACGCGGCTCTACGACGGGACGTGGCGGCGCGGCAGCACGGCCGGTGGTTGTAGGAACTACCCCGGTAGGTGCCACCGGTGAGGATTTTCACCTCAAAAACCCGCTGGTTTTGGCGTCGATTTAACCTCTTTTTGCCTTTTTTTTTTTTTTTTCAGCCACTTTTTGGATAAACCCGCAGTTTAAGATCCAGCTGGAGGAGGTGGACGATGACGGCGACGAGGGCGGCAGGCGCGAACCCGGCTGCAGCTTCCTCCTGGCGCTGATGCAAAAGCACCGCCGCCGCGAACGCCGCTACGGCAAGGACATGGAGACCATCGGATTTGCCGTCTATGAGGTAACGGCATCAACCGGCGTCACCCGACATCACCCGGCGTCACCCACTGTACGCCCTCACCTCTCTCCTCTTCCTACAGGTTCCTCCCGAGGTGGGTACAACTCACCGGCGGCGATAACATCACCGTCACCGCATCGTACCGGCAAACCAGGAAACGCGGAGGGTGTTTTTGGGGTTATTTCGGGTGTTTTTTTCGCCCCGTTTCTGACAGCACGTGGGGAAATCGGGCGTTCACCTGAAACGGGAATTCTTCCTGGCCAACGCCTCGCGCGCTCGCTCGGAGCAGTTCATCAACCTGCGGGAGGTGAGCACCCGGTTCCGGTTACCGCCGGGGGAATACATCGTGGTACCCTCCACCTTCGAACCCAACAAGGAAGGAGATTTCGTTCTCCGCGTCTTCTCCGAAAAGAAAGCCGGCACCGAGTAAGAGACGCCTCGTTAGTGTTAACGATCCCCGAGGAATCACAAAGACAAACTTTCCGTTGTTCTCACCTCCACAGGGAAATGGATGACAAGATCCAGGCCACGCTGCCGGATGAGGTGAGGGTGTACGGCGGGTGATGCCGTAGGGCGCCGAGGTGTCGTCTTTTTACCAAAACAGCCCTTTTTCCCCTCAGAAAGTGCTTTCCGAAAGCCAAATCGATGACAACTTCAAGCAGCTTTTCAAACAGCTGGCGGGGGCGGTAAGAGGGGTGTCGGGACCGGCGGTGGCACCGGCTGGCGGTGACACCGGGCTGTTGGAGAACACCGCGACTTCTCCCCGCAGGACATGGAGATCAGCGTCGTGGAGCTTCAGACCATCCTCAACCGGATCATCAGCAAACGTGAGCGGGATTTTGGGGTTCACCGTGAAAAAAACCACCAACAACAAAACCAACAACTCAACCCCGTTAATGATCGTTTAACTCGTTAATAACAACCGGATCATTCACAGATAAAGATCTCCGGACCAAAGGCTTCAGCACGGAGTCGTGCCGTAGCATGGTCAACCTCATGGATGTATCCTC